GTATGGGACGCTGATGCTCATCTGTTGGCAATGGACTTCCATCCGGTCCCAGCACAGGATAGATGTAATTTCCAGTTTCATCGGTGGGTAGTACTTCACCATCTGGACCAACAGGTCTGCCTTCTTCGTCTTTTTCAATAGCTGATCCATCGTCTGTTACGTAATTACCAGATGCATCCGTTGGCAGTGGGGAACCATCTGCTTTCTTGATAGGGTAGATGACATTTCCACTCTCATCAGTTGGAAACTCCTTGCTCGGCTTTACTTCGCGCTCTGCGGCGACATAGCTTCCGCTGCTATCGGTAGGTAGAGGTTGTCCCTCGTTGTCCAAAGGAATACCACTAGCGTCTGTCGGAACAGGCTTTCCGTCCTTTCCAAGTGGACGACCCGATTCGTCCGTTGGTAATGGTACACCATCGGTATTAAGCACTGGATGAATGGGACGTCGATGCTCGTCCGTTGGAAGAGGTTTTCCATCCGGCCCTAGCAGAGGGTATACGTAATTTCCAGAGTCATCGGTGGGTAGCACTTTACCATCGGGGCCAAGAGGCCTTCCTTCTTCATCTCTTTCGACAACTGATCCATCCTCGGTGACGAAATTTCCGTAGGCATCAGTCGGCAAGGATGACCCATCGGGGCGCACTATCGGTACTATAAGTTGTCCGCTTTCATCCGTAGGTAATCCCTCAATTACTCCGGGTTGTGTTGATGGTACTTCTTCGACCGTTGGCTTTAAACCTTCATCCTTCTTTGTTACTGGTAAAACGTAATCACCTTTTTCATTCTTTTTGAGTGGCTCACCGCGTTCATCCACTGGTACGCCTTTTTCATTAGTAGGAATTATGGATCCTTTGGAGTCTACATAATGCCCTTCCTCATCCATCCTCACCGGTTCTCCATCAACCGTAATTAAAGGAATCCTTGGTCTGTCTTCATCAAAAGCGCCCTCTCCAGGTTCGATTACAAAGAAGCCATCTTCGTTAATGGGATAAGGGTGACCCTCGCTGTCAAGTGGTCTTCCGATAGAGTCTGTGCTAATAACCAAACCGGTAGATTCAAGTGGATGTCCACTTGCGTCTAAAGGTATAGGATTTCCATTAACATCAACCATTTTTATTACTGGCATGTTATTTTCATCTACTGGCAGTGGTCTTCCACTCTTATCAATTAGTGGATAGATCCATGCTCCGTCCTTATTTCTGGGAAGTTCTTTGCCGTATGGATCTCGCGGAACTCCCTCTTCATCGATTGTGATCGGATTCTCGTTGGCGTCTATGAGTTCTCCTTCATCATTAACTTTTAGAGGCACACCATCAGGGCCTACAACCATCGGCAATTCACGTCCACTTGAATCTGTTGGTCTCGACGTCGATTTCACCTCCTCAACTACGAGGACACTTCCATCCGCGCCAGTTGGCAGCGGAGATGAGTCCAAACCAATGAATCTTCCTGATGCGTCAGTGGCGGCAACCATCTTTTCTTCCTCACCAGTACTCGGAGTGCTGCTCAAAATTTCTTCAGGTTGCACTTCGGTTGTCAATGACGGAGGAGTTACCTGAAAAAAGTAGTAGCTGCTCTGAAGGATGGAGAATCGCTGAAACTTTGCGAACCCTAACGATGGTGTAAGTTGTTGGAGTGTCCTTTGAAGGTTCACATGATTTCTGATCTTCGCTCAGTACAAAGCCGCTGTGACAATAACATTTTGAGGCTATTGTACCGTCTTCCTGTTCTTCAAATGTGCAAGCATGGGCACAATCGCACGTTACTCCTAAATGAACTCTATGTACTTATTGTTATAGCTATCCTAAACCATAGACGCCACGATAAATTCAGATGGAATCTTGCGGAACTAGTAACTATTTTTCCCCAAATCTTTGCTAGCTAGCCGTTGCCATATAAATCTTAGCAGTGGTGCTAATCGATTAAGCCCTTTCTGTTTCAGCATAGAAAGAACTTCCACAATTTGGGTACGAAAAATCATTATGCTTTTCTTTATATGCTTTGTGCTCGAGTGACATGGTAGATAGTAATCAACGTTGACGTCGAGATAAACATTAAAGACAGATACATGTATCCAAATCTTATTCTAGTAATCATTGTATTAATAGTACAGATAATCAGCGGCTGTAGATAGTTTGCCAAACCTGTTTCTTAAAATCCATGCAGAATTCTGCTGATGCTTACTTCAAACTAGCTGAACTATTCCTGGCCGAAAAAAGGTAAGGGGGTGGAAAATTTGTCAATACATAGGATACTAAGCATTAGCTTGATTTGATCCAGTACAGTCTTATAATTTATACAGTCTCAGTTGTCGATATTGACCTTTAGCAGCGAACTGATGTAAGAATAATGGCAGCACTAATTTAGAGAAAAAAAA